TGGTCCGTGCGGGGCCTTTGTGCGGCTCTCTTTGTGCCGGCTTCTGGCACCTGAAAGCCCACCAAGCTTTTGTGCAGAGACCTGTAAAGGTGCGGGAGTTGGCCTTGAAGTTATTACGCTACATTAGGCCTTATGGATAACATAAATTTAATGTCGTTAAAGCAGATCGCTGTCGGGCTCTGAAATTAGATGCCTTGAGGCTTTATTGCTTCTGAAGAAGCTCAGGGCACTGTGTGTGTTAGCACATTATAATTTCCTATTGTCCTGATATTTTCTCTTTAAACCTGCTACAGTTGCTTCCTCTGAGCGAACAGGTCTCTTTGATCCATGCCAACTGCAGGGAGCCTTTTTTTCCCCGGGACAGAATCCATCGCCTGTTTCAAAACATATATAATCATATTCAGAAGTACCTCAGAGAATCTGACATCTGCTTCCTGCAGCACCGAAAGGCTGTCTTGCTTCATATTTTTTAGACCTGTACCTGTCACCAGCTTGCATAAGGAATAAATTCCCATCCCTGTGGTATAGTCCAGCCCTGGCAGTCAAACGTCTTATGGATCTTTTGTGGGAATTTCATCTTCCCCTCTAGCTTCTGGCTTTGGCAGCTGTACAGCTGAACTGCTGGACGTTTACTGATGGACTGTTACCCTGTTTCAGCATGACAATAGTCAATATTGCTTCGTCCTCAGCCGTCAGAAGATGTCGCATTCCTTAAGCAGCCAAAAATCTCCGTACGGCAAATCCTGACGTTTCTTTTGCGCAGCGGAACTCACTGCTGAGCTCGAAGCAAAGGTCTCCGGGCTTCGCTCGCAGCAGGGCTGTGTCCTCCCTGTGCCGCTCGCCTCTGCCGAGATGCCAACAGAGCGGCCCCGGCAAAAGCACTTTGAATTTCAGCCCTGTCTGTGCTTGCTGCTGCTCCAGCCTTCGCCTCTGCTCCTTCCCGGGGCGTTGTGGGAGCCGCTCAGACCGGGATCCTTTAGCCCTTTAACTCCTCGCTGGCCCAAGCTAACGTCAGCCACAGGAGCAAGAACTACACAAAAATCCTCGTTTCAGGGATTTAGAAATAAAGGTTTTCCCCCAAAGCTTTTCAAACTTAAAGCAGGAAGATTTAATCTTTCTAGGCCATATGCTAGAAACCTGATTTTTTTCATATTTTTCCTCTCTTTTAACTATCCCTCCAGGTGTAACTTTATACTGCGGTGAGCATACATCTGACTTACACCAGGGAGAGGGAGGAAAACATCAGGTTTCACGACTTTTGTGTGATGCCCAGGGTAATGTATGGCAATAGATTAATAGCAGTAGCTGGGATTTTTGAAGAGGAGCTCTAGGGATTTACGGTATAAGTCAGGAGGATGCTGGCACTCAGCTGCTTAGAGAGTGGTTCAGAGAATTTCTTACGCCAGTAAAATGAACAAAGGTACCGTGCTCTCAACGTGATTCAGTATTTCAACAGAGCTGGCCACAAATCTTTGAAGTCGGTGTGAGTTTCAGGGTTGATATGGGGGGTTTTTTATGGTCTCCTTCCTCGGGAACTTTTTCCAATGGATGATCCACATTCTTCCAGGCAAAAAAGTAACGTCTCCAATTTGTAATTGTAGCTATCACTTGCGGCCACCCTGGCAACCCTGCCAATGGCTTGACCCAAGGGAGTCAGTTCAATCTGAACGACGTGGCCAAGTTTGTGTGCAACACCGGGTACCGCCTGGAAGGAGCATCGCAGTCCCAGTGCTTGGCCAACGGCCAGTGGAGCAGCACCCTGCCCGCCTGCCGCGGTAAGTCCTCTGCCTGCACCCCGGTCTGGGCAAATCAGATTGTCTGCGCCTTCCTCGTCGGTTCTCTGGCTTCCTAAAATCCTGCTCGAAGCTGTCCTAAATCCACGTGAACCAAATCTTGCAGTTCCTCACAATGTACAAGTGATGTTTGAGCTCCGAGGACTGTGTAAATCTCATGCAAAGCACCTGATGTTTTTCCCTTGGGCTTCACTCAAAGCTGTTAACGGAGCCCTGCGTCCTCCAAGACATCCAAGTACGTGTTGTGAGTGGGGAGGACACAAGAAAACATCAGGCCAGACCCTTAGCAGAGGTAATCTTAGTAACCCTAGACTAGTTTACTCAAAGAAAACGCCACGCTCTTTGTGCAGAGCCCTTTCTCCTTCTAGGCTGCCCTACTTTCATTGGTATTAGCACTCAAGTTCACTTATCAAATTCCCTCCCCTCCCTGCACACCCTCGCTCTGTACTCCCTTAATCCCCTATCTCTGGCGGTACTCTTGCTGTGTCGGTCAAGAAATCAGTTATTCTCGACTGGCTGACCGAAGTCCCGATGTGGGGCCAGAGAGCGAGGCTCTGCTGCTGAGCCTCGCGTGGCGTTGCGAGAGTCTGCAGGATTGCTTCTACTCTTTTTTCCTTTTCATAAGGATTTTTTCTATCTCTGCCTCAAAGAATCTTTAAAAAAAAAAACCAAACCAAACACACCTTAAATTGTAGAATATGTGATTTGCAATTTTTTCCCCCTTTTCCTGCTCATTTTTGGAGAATCCTTTGTTCTTTGTTACACCCTTTCTTTTGTTTTTTGTTTTTGTTTTTTTTTTTGTTGTCGTTTGTCTGCAGTTGTAAACTGTACTGACCCCGGGCACCTGGAAAACAGCATCCGTCAAGTGCAGCCAAATGGTCCTCACAGATTCAGCTTTGGAACAACTGTCTCGTATCAGTGCAGCCATGGATATTACTTACTGGGTACACATGTCCTTACCTGTCAGGGGGATGGCACTTGGGACCGTGCCCTCCCACAGTGTCTTTGTAAGTTCTTCAGAATAATACCCACCCACCGCAGGTTTTCATCCCATGTAGTCCTCCGTTGCTTAGCTGAATGCTCATGTAAAATAAGCGTGGATCCAAAACCCTTCGTAATCCATGGGAATCATTCCATCAGCTCACTGGCCTCTGGATCCTGCCCCCACAGAAGGAAAATACGTGGTCTGAGAAGTCCTGTTAGACAGAGGTGGTTTTCCTCTGCAGGGGAAGGCAGCTCCCGCTGAGCGTTTCTGGTTCCGTGCGGCTCCAGCAGAAGCGTTGCAGGTGGCGAAGGGCAGCAGAGCTTCTGCAGCACAGACCGTCAGAGGCAGCAGCGTGCAATTAGCCTGGCTGAGGACAGAGCGCATTTAGCACCGCTCAGGCATGGCTGAGTTTCCATACGCCCACTCATCCCCGCAGCTCTGGGGGAGGGAACCGACAGTGCGACGGTGACATAAATGTAGCCTTTATTCTGCTGCGACGCAGGTGCTAAGGAGGATTTGCTTCCTGACTTTTGTCTGCATTTTTCCCCCTCTCTTACAGTATCCTGGCCCTTTGCGCCACTGCGGTTTGCAGAGAGAATTAGGAGGTTCTGGGGCATGGTTTGGATTGAAGGGCATTTCCAGTAGCGTAGAACACCTACGTGTAGGAAGACACAAGATACTCACGGTGGTCTCGTGCTGTCCTTTTGGAGACTGCAGCAGCTGCCCTCCCCTGTTCCCTGGCATAACAAATGGCTGAAGCAGTCCGAAATGGAGCTCCTTAAGTTTGAATCGGCGGAGCTGTTCCAAAGCCATGATTGTTTCTTTTTTTTTTTTCTTTTTCTTGTATTATCCCTCAACACCTAGTCATATAGAGTAGTTCTTGGCACATTTTCCTTTCCTTTTGTTAGCAGCATGCCACCTTCTCGCGTTTGCAGCACCCTGCACAGGCCACGGGGAATTGACAAGTGATAACCGCGTGTTACGGCGTCGCAGGGCGCCGAGAGGGTAGTTACCTTTGAAAACCTGGGAGCCTGATATCTCGGGTCCCTCAGTCCGCAGCTTCCCAGCTAAGTAAAGGCCATCCCCCTCCTTAAACTGTTGAGCATCCGTTGCCTTGGAGGATTTGTGGGCGTTCTCAAAACTGGAAACTCAGGTCAGATTTACGACTGATTATTGGAATCATGGGCTTAATAGTTTAAAGAGAGAAAAAAAAAAAAAGATTTTTGCATGTCTCTGTTTTCTGTGTGTTGAACTTAAGATGTGCTCAGTGCTGAATCCCGTACCCCTTTGAAGTCTTTATAGCTGGGTACCTAAAATTACTAGGTGCTCTCTAAAAGATAAATTAAGGAGGTTGATGCCAGACAAGCTTGGGTTGCAAATGTTGTCTCATGCCTGTTTCTGAGGAGAGAGTAGAACAAAGTTGATCCCCTTTGAGGGGTGGGAGAGCGAGTCCAATAAATAAAGTACACGGGAGCGGAGCCTAACGCATCAGAAGAAACAGTCTTCACACTGTGTACGTAAATCCTTTAAAAACCTCAGTACCGCCACAGGTTTTAAGCTTAGCTGAGTCTGCTGGAGTATCTGTTATTAAATTGTTAGTTACAGTGTGAGTTTAAGTATTAGCTATCAAACCCATTTCCTTGCAAAGCGTCCTTGGTTTTAGTCACAGCTCTGCACCAGTATATTTCAACGCCCACGTGCCCAAACATACGCGTGCTCTCCTTTTTATTGAAACATACATCATGTTTTCTACCTAATGCCAGTGTTGGTATTTTTAGACTCTAGCAGAGGGAGAGAAGATATCCGTTACTGACGCTTACCTTCAGAAAGCGAGTGGTGCATGGTCTTTACGCTGAGCATCCTCATCCAAACCTGTCTAATAGCCCCTGGATCTGGCAGGGTATTTGTCAACAGCCTCACTGGCTGCACTCTGATCGCTAAGCTAAAGTAAACCTATTAATTATTGTTAGCGGTGGTTTTTTACTAGCAATGGTCGAGTGAGCAGTGCTCCGAATCCGCCGGGATAATTTGCTGAGGTGTGACACGGCATCGATTGCAGTTCTGTGTCGCAGGACCTGGCGCTGCTGGGAGCGGGTGGGGGTGAGGGTGGGCATGGAAACATTCATGCTTTAAGAAGGGACGAGTCCTCCAAGGAACCTGCAAAATGCCTGTCAGTGTCAAGACTAGGCGTTTATGCGCAAACCCTTGGCAGTTGTTACAGGACGAGCCCGTGTCCCCCAGGAGGAGATCGGTGCGAGGTCTGCTGGGCCACTCCTGCACCGTGGCACGAGCCACCGGGCATTTGGTGGGCTCTGGGGCGGACGAGTGGGTTTGAGCTGCCGAGGTCCCGCGCAGCGCCCTCAAACGTGCAGTGCTTTGCTGCGTGCCTGCTGCGTCTGCCTTCGAAGGAGCATCGCAGGCGGTTCCCTCGTGGTTGAAGCTGTTGCATCTGTCTCTTACAGTGGTCTCTTGTGGCCACCCCGGCTCCCCACCCCACGCCCAGATCTCGGGTGACAAGTACACCGTGGGCTCCGTGGTCCGGTACAGCTGCCTCGGGAAGCGGACACTGATCGGCAACTCCACTCGCATGTGCCAGCTCGACGGGCGCTGGAGCGGCTCCCCCCCCCCCCCCCCCGGTGGGGGCGGGATTCGGGGGC